CAAGGGGAGGGGAGGGGAGGGAAGGGGAGGGGTAGGAGAAGGAAGGGAAAGGGAAGGGGAGAGAAGGGGAGAGAAGGTGAAACCAAATTGAAAGAGGACAGTTTGGGCACATGGTGGAACAAGAGGGGGGGCGAGGGGGGGCCGGCTGGATGTGATCGGAAGGGACAAAAATGGGAGAGGAAGGCAGGCAGGGAAGATGGGAGGGAATGGGAGGAGGAGGTGGGTTGCTTGATGGGTAAGCAGGGTAAGCAGGGTAAGCAGAGGGTGACCTGACTGCAACTCACGTACTGCAACAATTTTGACCGATTCATGAAGCGAAATGACAGAACTGAGAACTCAAATCTTCTGAACATTGGCATCACAAGTATTCAAGCAAACCACCTCCTTCATTTGGCATCACAAGGATAAGAAAAGAAATCAAAAGGCGAAAAAAAAGCCCTACACTTGGAAATGATACCACCCCAAAGCGCATTTCGTTTGTACAGAAGGTGATGGACCTCCATGGAGTTTGACATCACGGCCGCCTTTCTTGACACGGATGTAAGGTGACTTCGCAGACGGAGATTCGCAGGAATAGAACCCCACCTCCCTCCCTCCCTCCCTCCATCCCTCCCTACATCCATCCATCCCTCTTCTTCCAAGAAGAGAAGCAAGCACTACAGGTATTCTCTCAAACTCTGCAAGCGCCAGCACCCAACGTATTCAACAGCATTAAATGAAAAAGAAGAAAAAGAAGACTAATTGCGATTGCACTCGCGAAATTCTACCGCCCAGAAGCACACTTCGTTTGTACAGATGGAGACGGAGCTCCATGGAGTTTGACATCGCTGCTACTTTTCTTGACACGGATGTGAGGCGATTCCAGAGATGACGGAGACTGAAGAGGAATAGATCCCTCCCTCCTCTTCCAAGAAGAGGAGGAAGGGCTGCGAGTGGGTGTGGCCGCTATGCTGCCAGACCGATAACTCTCCCGGAGATTTCGATCCATTGTGTGGCTGTTCTTGGCGATCGCTCGCCGGACAAGTTTCTGTGCAGCCGCAGAAAGCGGCGTCCCTGAACCGGCCATGGCAGCAGCAACTGACCTATAAGGTGAAGCAGGGGAGAGAGAGGCGGCATTCGTTGTTCTCTTCATTATCCTCTCTCGTGCCCGCAGACTCCCACCAGCCATTCGTGACAGACTATGGCCTCGTGCTTCCCGCTGCGGCTGAGCAGCAATCTTGAAGTGAGGTCCATCTCTGCCACCGCCAAGTCCCAGTACATCCTCTGCCTCCAAACGTATAGGGGTGCCCTCGATTTCTCCCCAGGTAATGAATGGTGATTCATCAGAGCCCGGAGCAGGGGATGGCGTGGACACAAACCCGTACCCATTGATCTTCGGAGAAGCTGCCATAGGGTCATCCAATGCCACGAGGTTACTTTTGGGAGTACGTCGCAACTCCTCCAGGTCATACCGCACCTTCGCATTTTCTCTATCTCTTTGTGCAAAGGGCCAAGCTGCCGGGGTCCCTCCGGGAACAGGACTGTAGACCACTTGCACTGCCTTCTGTTGTTGCAGCGAGACAGGGTTCGATCCGAAGACCTTCCCTTGAAAACGCGTCGCACTCGTATTCACCATCTTCGGTGGGCCCTTCGCCATTTCCTCCATTTCCTTCGCAGTCAAGGGCACGTCATCCACATCGGCTCCATCATACATTAACAAAGTCTTGGAAGTGTATTTCCACGACTTCAAAGTGCCGACGGGCTGACCCGAGGAGCCATATCCATCAGTGGAGTTCGCTTCGTCTTTGAGTAAAGCAGCCCCTGACTCCCACTCCCGCTTCTTCGAGTCGCTCGTCTCCCCAGCGCCACCCTCTAGTCGTGGAACGGGTTGCTCCGCATTCTCTAGCAGGAAAGCAAACTTCTCTCTTTTCTGCTTGTTCATCTTTCGCAACAGCACACCGAATGAAGCGTTGTCTTCACTCGTATGCTTCCGGAGGAACTCGTCCAGCGACATGTCAACATCGGGCAAAAGAACCTCGCCGGCCTCCTCTTCCCCAGCCCCATCGTACTCTTCGTCGTCCCTGACTCTCTGTTCACCTCGCTCTGACCTGACATCATCCGACCGTACCGACATGGCTGGACTTGCGCCCACGGCCCCGCAAACAGAAGGAGTTTGAAGCAAGTCGTCGTATCCTATTGCTACGGACGAAGGAGTGGCGATTCCACAAAAACTTCCCGATTCCGCTCCCAGCTTCGCCTTTCTCTTCATTATCTTCATCTGTACCTGCCTTATTTGCTCCGGATCTCGGCTGCGCACCGCCTCCGTCCATTCTAGATAGTTCTGGAGCTTAGGAATGTCCGGAAAGAAGTCCCGCTCAATGATCTTCTCCAACGCCGCGACATACACATCTTCCTCCAGGACAACCTGCACTTTACGCGGTGGCCTACGTGGAGCCGGGGGTCCCATAGAGCCAGGCTGTCGCCCAGATGACGACGTGGGTATAAGCGATCTGTCATTGATGGACGCATCGCTGGGACTCGGGGATGGAGGTGACCTGATTAGCCGCGGTGAATGGCCCGGCGAGGCGAGCATCGTGACAGGCAATCAAACTTCCGCAAGCCAAAGCAATGTTATATGGGACCGAAACCTCTACCTATCTAATCAAGGCCTGCATCATCGCAATGCCAAGATCGAACCCCTCGCCTACCCAATCGAGATAGCGAGACTGCATACTACATTGGGCTGGAAAGCTTATCCATCCACAATGCCATCCGCTGTCCCCAGGGGCAGAGAATTAACGAGCGACAGCCAGGACACGCACACCCACACAAAATAAGTACCATAGAGAATACGCTTCCGGAAAGAAAACGTGCACAAGCAGTAAGCGTGACACCTGCGAATGTCAGTCAAAATTTCACAAAAAAGCACCGAGAGCGCGGAAGCAGAAGCCAGCAAGACCTACTCAAGTAGGCCGGTCAAAAGACATTAGGTCCAGGAGCTCACCAGAGGCAGAGTTCACTAGGAATCCCACCATACGCAAGGGTTCTGTAGACTGACTGACACCACGGAAACGACATAATGAGCCTCCGGAGGGGACTTGCTGAGAAGAACCAGGTCCAACAACGCTCGGTTAGACCAACTGAGACTAACTGAGACTAACTGAGACTAACTGAGACTAACTGAGACTAACAGGGAACAGAGGAGATACTCATTGCCAGTGCAAATTGCTCTCTTGGAAGCCGATGCACTAAACCTTACTCACAAATGTGCAAGTACAAGCCTCCACGCCGACTTGCCGACAGCGCATATTGTGCTCCTAGATGCCAGCAACTCCAACAGGGACTAACTGGGACTAACTGAGCCTAACTGAGCCTAACTGAACCTAACTGAGACTAACTGAGACTAACTGAGACTAACTGAGACAGTAAGGTGGACATGTGAGAAGGGATTTTACGGAGACCACGAGGAGCAACTCATTCACAGTGCAACTTGTGCTCTTATAGCCACCAGAGCAGCAAACCTTAGCCGAAAACGCGCAAGTACAACCCTCCACTCTGCCTTTTTGACAGAGCAGATTGTGCTCTCAGCTGCCAGCATCAGCGGTTACCCTCGATCGGGACCACCACCAGCAGCACCATAAGTAGATTTTCCAAGCTGACTTCTGGACAACAGGGAAATTAGACCCACAAGAGAAAGGACATATATAGACGGCAACGGCGTGGAGAACAGACGTACGGTCGAATCAAACGACCCGTGCTACAGAAATGCAGAACAGCCACGCAATCACTTGCACTCCTGCAAGCGGACGGGAGATACCCTTCCCCGCAGACAGGGCCCTTCTCCACATACAAGGTTATGAGCCGTGCTCAATGAACGCAGGCTTTTTTTTATGCGTAAACGTGAACGTGACAAGGGCCCTACCTTTCTTTTTGTTTTAATCTTTTTAAAAAGTGTGACAGCCTCGCGATATCATTATCCAACTGACTGGCCCTGCGTATTTCGGAACTGTACTCGTCCGCCTCGAGTGGAGTTCGAACTCAGGTCTGCATTTCAACAGTTCAGTCCAGGGGGGGTGTACCAACTGAGCTAGGCCAGTTGGTACAAGGGCCCGGCTAAACCCGAGCAGACCTCGAAGAATACTTGCAAGCACGTGTCACAGAAGATCATTTGCGCGCTTCAGAGAAGAACGTACTGCTGCACAAGTCCTGCCCAATATCTCCACTCCCTCTGCACAACGTTTCAAGAGGAGGACAAAATACAGAGAAGATTAGCATGGCCCTTCATCTCTGTATTAATCCAATTTTAACGGACAAATACAGAGAAGATTAGCATCCATCCGTTTAAATTAAAACACACACACAACACACACACACACACACACACACACACACACACACACACACACACACACACACACAAACCTTCGCCTCTGTATTGTTCCAATTTTAACGGACAAAGCAGAGAAGAGTAGCATCCGTTTAAATTGGAACAATACGGAGCAAGAAGATTGGCATGGCCCCTAAAAAAAAAAAAAAAAAAAAAAAAGATTAGCATGGCCCCTGCACAAGGATGGAATGCATAAATCAAGAAATGGTCCAAATTTCAAAAAAAAATAAAATTGAAAAAGGGTCAGCAGACTCAGCACACGTGATGAGTTGATGGGTTTGGAACTTTGAAGTTGTGAACGACGGGACAAAACGAAAGGAAGGCTTAACCCACGCGGGTAGAAGAAGAGTTGACGGTAACAGATAATAAGGAAAAAAAAGAAAAAAAAACATGATAAAGAAATTTAAATAAAAACGAAGCAACTGGAATTGGGAAGGATGGTGCCTGTGAGCAATTGGCGAGCCACATTCTTTGCAATTTGCCCTTCTAATGCTTCCCACTTCAGGCTTCACACACCCATCTGCACTACATCCTCTACTCAACAATTCCTACCACCAGCATTTCCCCCCCTCCCTCCTCCTCTCTCTCTCTCTCTCTCTCTCTCTCTCTCTCTCTCTCTCTCTCTCTCTCTCT